GGCGAGGAGTCACTCGGTGGCCTACAGGGCCCGTGTGAACTCCGATTGGCTTGAAATTTGGCGTGCTTACATATCTTACTAATACACACCTAGTTCCAAAGCCGCTCGGCCAAAATCCACCTACAACCCCAAAAACCCGATACAAGAAAATTACACTAGAAAGCTTTAAAGACATGAAAGGAAAGCGAGTGGTGAGGATGGTTTGGACATGCGGCTATGGGTAACACACCCTGGACAAGCATGCCCACAACACTTACAATACATGGGATTTGAACTCAGTCCCCAAAAAAACCCTTTACTTTTCTTCACTTGTCCCGATAACCACTAAGCCAACCCAACTCACGATGTTTATGCTTTCACTACGTTCTTATTATCTTATATTCCTTTGATGGGCTGTTCTGCAATTTCATTCAACTTTTCCTCTCCAGCCATCTAGGAACTAACAGAAAATAGTAGCAGTGAGAAACTCACTGGTTATGCAATTATATAAAGTAAAAATTGCGCTTTTAAGAATTCATTTGTTTCCTATGAAAAAAGACCTATGATGGCACATGAATTTCCAGGTAGTATAGTATATCAAAAAACAGCAAGTTCCTAGTAGCCTTTCTTTTTAAAAAAAATTAGGAACTTGTAGTTTTCTGAATACTGGTATATTATATACTTATTTCATAATGTGGTATACTTGACCTTTACATGTAGTATAATTTCACAGGCATCTGAAAATCTTGGTATGGCTATGGTCTACACTCTTGTCACATCATCTAAAGATTGGCTATCTGAGCGATTTGGTCAAGATAGTAATCTTGAGAGCGCTGAAGCAGAAGAGAGGGCAAAAGATGATGTATGAATCTTTATTTTCTCTCTTAATTTTAAAAAATGTTTTCTGTTTGCTTCCAATCCCTCTTGTGATTGATCGTTATTCTACTTTTGGATGGGAAATGTGGTATCTTTCTCCGTAATTATTTGGGGACTATTATGAGTGAGGTCTAATAATAACAGCTGCTCAAGTATAGAAGCGAAGATGAGGAATCTCTGAAAATGTCGAAGAGCTTAGAGAATCGTGCCTCAATCGGCAGAAATCAGAAAGTGGATTATTATTACCAATTTACTTGGAAAAATCACACCAAGTAGAAGCAAAAAACTTGACAAAGTCTCAGACATATAAGGAAGTCCTATTCTTTTCCGTAGATTCTTCTTTCCCTTTCTACCCAATTTTTCCGTCGAAGAGCTTCCACTGCCTTGGTCCATAAGACTTTGAATACTCAAAAGCTGGATGATATTATGAGTACAATCTGAATCAACCATCAAACTCCAAAATCCTTTAACAAGCTTTACCAGCAGTTAGAACTGAAAGAGCAGGACAAGAAACTAATGTCCTTGATTCTCATGACTCATTTTACACTAAGCAAAACATCTTAGGGTAAAAAAGAGATCCCTGAACTTTATTTCAATTGTGTCTATTGTATTCAAAAGTCCAAAGAAAAATTCTTTTGGGGATTTTAGTCCGAAGAAAAACCGTAATTGCATCTTGTGATACACAATTTGAGTTTTCATATATATCATCTACACCTATCTCTAGACTATTATACCATATCCCTTTTCTGGGAAATTATTTCTATATAATGTCAAGCTTGTTGATTCCATTTTTATTTTGTGGATGGTTATATTCTTCTTGATCAATTGTACTACATACATTATGGCATGTAGAGAATTACCATTAGATACTGTCAATCCCCATTGTTATGCATCAGTTCATAATTAGAAAAATGATGCTTCTAACCTATGCTTGATGGGCTGGAAGTTCGAATTGAAAAATTCTCGCTATGTTGTGTGAAAGGCCGGTGTGCCATCGTCTCCTTGTTGCAGGATGGTGACATTTCTTAGCTCACCTCACATGTTTAATTTTTTATGGCGTCGTTCATTATATATTTTGAGATGAGTATTTTTGGTTTTGTTTATGTTACATCGGTTGTACCTATTCCGATTCAAAATGACAAAAGAACCGGGCAGCAGTAGGAGCCCTAAAGAGGAAAGGGCTATCTTTTAAAATATTTGGCCTTTAAATATTACTTAAATGAACTAATTTATATTCTACTCCCCTTTGAACTCTCAGGTGATTGTACCACATGGAGAACCTGTCACCCTTGACACATTTTTAGCATGGAGGGAAAGATTTGAAGCAGAGATGGCGCTGGAACGAGCCAAGTAATTTATTTATTTATTTTTGCTGTGGCTTGTTTTCTTACTTTGGCCATTGTTGTCCTTGTGAAGGAATAGGGTAGACTGAGGTGCAGTTTTGCTAGTGCCTAGTAGTGTCCAAAATATGTGCTGTTAAATATTCCAATATGCCTGAAGTTATGCAATGCTCTTCTTGGGGTAGAGAGTGGGAATCCAAACCCTTGCCTTTCGATGCTAATCTTACTCCATATAATTTAGCTAGATTTCTGCCTTAAAAAGAAAAAAAACACACACAAACACAATACTGGGACAAACACAAAAGAGAACTGCTGGATAGTATTTTTGTAATCTTCTTTGGTTCTTGACTTGGGAGGATATCTTTATTTTCCCTTCATAAATTTTGTGTGTGTGTGTGTGTGATGTTATTGCATGTTTGTTTCTATAAAAAGTAATAAAGAAAAAAAGAACTCTGCAAAAGGTGGTAGGGAGTACGGGTACTTGCAGGAAAAAGGGCTTTCAGCAAGTTAAGACCCAAGGCAGTGAGTGGAGTTAGAGATTCCTTTCCAAGTGAATTTCTATTTTAATCCTTTGAGGTTGATTTTAACCAGATTATACGATGATGCGTGGGTTAGTCAAGTCCCATTCGCTTTGAGATTTCCATAACTGTTCTATTCTTGCTCGCCAGAGTTYGAGTGATCAGTTAGGAATTTGCTATTTGGACTAATCTCGACGGTAATTAGTGAAGGAGTGGATCACTGAAGATGTGGTGAAGGAATGGATCGCTCTCTCTAATGGAGGTATCTTAAATTCCATTAGACTGGATATCAGGAAAGTCACTGGAAGCTTTGGTGGTTTTCTCTAGCACATCTCTGTGTAACCTTTTGAGGCAGTGCCTCAGGGCATTAACTTCAGATGAGGCTAAGATTTCTTGGAATTTTAAGATCCCACCTATGTTCTCTATAGTGATCAAGAAAGTCTCAATTTTCAACTTCAATCATAGGAAAAGGTTTGAAGCATCAAAATTGGAAGAGATCAGTTCTTTCTAAAGGAGGGAGATTTCTCATCCCTGCCTCTCTGTCAAACCTCTCAACTTTCTGTATCTCTATTTTTCTAATGCCTAATAAAGTGGCCCTCATTATTGAAAAGCATAAGAGAGATTTATACCGGGATAGTCATGATAAGGAGGGAGGCTTACACCAAGTGAACTGAAAGAAAGTGAAGCAGCTTCTTTTAAGGGGTTTTGATATTGGAATTTATGTTTGAAAAATAACCTCTCTCTTGAACAGCAGGTGGCTTTGGAGATTCTCACCTGTGACGAAGGCAGTTTATGGAGAAAAGTGGTGGTTGCTAATATGGCATTACCATCTCGGTTTTCTCTTGCTTTGTATTAGCTGGTAAACTCAGACGATGAATGGTCTGGTTGATAATGGAAGAAGAATAAAAAAGTTAACAGCTGTTGTTCAGAAGCGTTTTGAATTCTTCAGGAATAGTGTTGAACTCTATGCTGAAAGCCTGGAAGTCAACAACAGAGGTCTATTTGCTATTGCTCAGGCTGATTCCCTGTATTATTTTTAGAACTCAAGGATACAGTAGTGCAACATATAGAACGGATCTTGTTCAAGTAAGGTTGTATGCTGAGTTTCTGTATTACAGGCTTCTAAGTGGGCTGGAGAGATTATTTTTAATAAGAGACTATTGTTAACAAAAGAGAAGAAAAAGGACAAACTAGGGGCCAGGGAAGAGAAAACCGTTGTCTAAGGAAGCTACAAAGAAGAGCCTTTCCAATCAAGGTTGATAATAAGAAGACTATGATTACCACATAAAAAATCTGTGCTGGGAGCTGCACTACGAAAAAGTAAACTGTATACCATTACGAGAAGAATCTAAGGAAGACTTTTTATTGTAAAAAAACGCTATCTCTCTCTTTCCAAAAGAAGCCACAGAAGGGCTTTTCTCAAGATGCATAATTCTAAAGAACCTTACTTTTCTTTTAAGCCACCAGCCTGTGAAGGCTACCAAAAGCCAGTCATCTATAAATCTAGGTAAACCTAAGGACAGGCAAAGCCAAGCAAACTCAAAATGAAAGACTATCCACTGCAAGCAAAAGAACATCTAATGGGACTGGAAGTGTCAGGAAAAATATATGAAGGTTTTTCCAGGCTGCTTTATATGTGTTCTTGGTGGAGCATTGACAGAGGACTTGGACCACCCCTTTATTTTTTTTGATTTGAAACAAATATTTCATTGATGGTATGAAATATACAAAAGGCCACAAGGACAATTACAAGAAAGCCTTCCAACTTGTAATAAGGTCGGTTAGAGAGTAGCTATTGAAAGGGATAGAAACATTTACACCAACCAAGAGCTAGAGCAGTAACTCTATCAAAAAAGATATCAAAAGATAGGATTTTTTCATTGAAGACCCTATTGTTTCTCTCCAACTAAACTCCATAGGAAGGCCCAAACGGACAGAACTGAAAGAGTTGCTCTTTCCTTCTTGAAGGGATGCCCTGCCAGGAGATAATCGAGGAAGGTAGATGGTTTGTTGTGCAGTGCTGTTTTCCACCCAAAGACTTGGACCACCTTTTTATTTACTGATTTTTGCTTGATACCTACAAAGATTGTCAGGGTGTCTTTGATCTGTGTCGGGTCAGGTGGCTCTCAGAAAATGCTTTAGTGGCTTTTGGAAGGCCAAATTTTTGTGGATCATCTCTACCTTTTCTACTTTTTGTGGTTATTCGAGTGTTATCACTCCCAGAAACTAATTTCTCTCTCCTTATTATTATTATTTTTATTATTTTCCTATAGAAACCAAGCTTTAAATGAAAGAATACTGATGAAAAATACAAAGCAAGAGAAAACCCAATTGAGAAGGAGCTTGTACACAGGAAATTAACTACAGAAAACAGAAAATTACCCAAAAAAAAAAAAAACTCCGGTTGTAGAGAATAAAAGAGAGTCACAAAAATTGATCTTCAAACCTGCATAATACCCGAACTTGTAACTCGCTGTACTTATATAACAATCCAAACAAAATCATTGGCTAATGACCAAATATCTCCATAATAATAACAGTTATATTGGATATTTTGATATTAAAACATTCCCCTATTCTTATGATTTTGTCTAATTATAGAGCTTTTTTTTCGCATTTGCCTGGTTTCAAAGAATTCAGATATTTTACCTTCAACTTTTTTACTCTGTTAATAAATAAATATGAACTGTTTTCAGGATAATGCCCGAATCAGCTCTTACTGCACCTAAGGAGAAGAAACTTTCTGGCAGGCAGTGGTTTGAGAGTGGACGAGCTTCTGCAGTAACTTTTCTTTTTTCTTCTCCTGGCTGTATTCTTAAGCACTGGTGTCATCTTATATTTTATGCTCCTCATGCCAGGACAGAAATATCTAACGACCGAGTTTTTCATGTTAATACGAGTTTTATTAAACGCCTAATATCCAGTTAACTGGAGCTTCTGCAGTGTTTAACATAAAGAAACGAAGATCTTTCTGGGTTATTTTATTCAACTGAATAACTTGCTCATTTTCTCTGCAGAAAGGTGCAGCTGCAGTTACCGAAGAATCTGATGAGGAAGATGAGGAAGATATTGACTTTGACGAGGATGATTTTGAAGGTGCTCTCTCCCTCTTTTTCGATCTTTCATTCATCTAACCAAAACATGCAGATTTACCGATGGTCGATACTACTAAATCAGTTGTTAGTTAAAATTATTCCGTACCAAATGATCACCCCTTTTAATTGCTGATGGTGGCAGATGATGAGGACGACATGCTTGAGCACTATCTAGCTGAGAAGCCAGATTCATCCTCACACTCATCCAGAAGGGCTTAGCTAAAAACGATCCATTGATTTGCTAGCTGGTCCGGACACTCACAAATATTAAAAAGAAGGAATCTTAGTTGAAACCCGGGCAACCTTTTTCCCATATATGCAACTTTTTGTTCTATTTACTGTCAAATGAGAAAGCTGGCGATGAAGAGATGTTCTTAGAAGGCTTCATTTTCTTGGTTTTTTTGGTTAGAAAGAAAGCTAGTGGTGGCTGTGACATTTTGTATTCATATTTTCTCTTTACATTTACTATTCAATGAAAGATTCTCCCTAAAACATGTCAAAGCCAGATTTCTACTACTTTTGCAAATCCTTTCTCATGAAGGAATCTCATTCTTCACATCAAGGTATGTTCTTTTTCCAACTGAAAAAAATCCAATGAGAAATGTATGTTTTCAGTATGAGACAAATGGGAAGTGATCGTAAAAGACAAGTGTCATATTCAATGGCGAGACTTTATATAAAGTATAGTTTCACCTTTTTCCTCCACTTTTAACATGTATTATAAATATTGGAAATTTATTTTAAACAACATTCTAGATTGTTTGTTTTCAATAATTGTTTAAGCCAAACAATCCAATGGCTCATGGAATTTAAAGTTCATGTTTCTTTTATATATTAAATTATTACTAATAAATGCATAATTGTAGGTTGGAATTTTTCCACTCCTTGTTAAACTACAATAATAATCAATAAATAAATATAGAAATATAGGTTTTTTAGATAACTAGGATCCAAATGGTCTGTTTCTTTTAATCTAAGTATTTGAAAACTAAGATGCAATGGTGCATTTTTTTAACTTTAATTTATTTTAGTCCGTATTTTCGAAATTTTATTTTAGTTCCTGTATTTTTAATTTTCGTTCATTTTAGCCTTTATATTCTTAAAATATTAAAATGCGCGTAAACTRGTTCGGGAACTCACTAATATCAAATTTTTTTTTTTAATTTATGCAGTGTAATTTTAAAAGGTATGATTTTGGACCTATTTGATGAAACATGTGAATCCATCCATCTATATAATAAGGATTCGGAATTGGGAGGCAAATTGTAATGCTTGTTGAATCAGCAAGAAATCCAGAGGTCCGCTTTACCGCTTCTCCAAGCCAACTCTTCAAGCTCTCCGCTTGTTCTTCTTCTTCTTCTCCACGCTCTTCCGGAGCCCTTCAATCATGATTAAAGGTTGGAAAAACAGCTTCTTTGTTTCACTTCTTCTTCTTCTCTTCAGCTTCGTTTGCTTCGTTCTGTTTAAACTCCGCAGATTTGCGGATTTTCTCTCGGTTAAATGATCTGGGACAATTTTCTAGCTCAATCATGCCTGCCCACCATTGCTGCTTTGTTTATTGTTTTGACCTTTTTCGTTCTCATTGTTTTGCTTGCTGCGGCGATTGCCATGCCTCATTGCCTCTCCTTTGCATTGCTTCTCGTTTGAGATCACTCCTCTTGAATCGCATTTATCAAAGCCCAGGATTGTAGTTCTTGGTGCACGTTTTTTTAATCTGGGTGTTTGGGTAGCACGTGGTTTCTGCCAAGCTCAGTTTCATGCCTTATCATGTCATGGAAGCAAAATTATAATTTTGAGTTTTTTTTTTGTTTTTTTTTGAAGTGGCATGGCAAAGATCAAATAGTAACTTAAGTTTGACTGAAAGAACCATTTAATTTGTTTTTCGATTAATCATTTTATTTTTCCTGTCTTGGCGCTTGTGTTGGTTCCTGGTAGTTGAAGAGTCATAAATATACGCCAGGATCTTTATATTATAGTTACTGAGGGGAACTGCCATTGAATTTTAATTGTCCACATAAATCATGAAACATTCAAGAATGCATTTAAATTTGGAACTTCACTGACAATTCAAGCAAAAGAGAGATATAAGTTAATTTAAACTTTACACTCTTGTCATGGGTACTGGAGCTGCCGAAATTCTTCATCGTTAGAAAACTCTAAGCTTCCCTGTCTATTTTTCTCAGTGAGGTGCTGCTTACGTTGTCATATCTTTGTATTAAAGAACTCACACGAACATATTTGTCCTATCGATCAGCTATTGACCCTTGAAAGTCATTTTCTTTAATATTCAAATTTCTACGTTGGCTTGTACCTTTTGATTTAGAATTTTTCAAAATCCATCATTGTTAAAGCACGTTGAAGTTTCCCCTCAAGTTTTTCTTTTTTCTTTTTTCTTCTGATTCGTAGAATATGTTTGAAAACATATCTTAATCTTTGGATATTAAAATTTTATAGTGAGCATAAAGTGGCAAAAATCGCTGTTCCGAGATGTTGAAATTGACACCAGTCTGCCCCCAGCTGTCTTCAAGGGCCAGCTGTTTGATCTCACAGGGGTACCTCCTGAAAGGCAGAAGATTATGGTTAAGGGTGGTATACTGAAGGTTAGTTGACATCTCTTTAAGTATGTTTTTGAGGATAGTTAGTTTATTGTTAACTATTATTTCTCATTCCCATTAATTGCCAACAATAGTGAGATSATGCTCTTATTTCTAATTAAACTCTTGAGAATTTCCCTAAGTGATTGATCATAGCTGATCCTTGTACTTCTTTACTGAGCAGGATGATGCAAATTGGTCAGAAATGGGAGTAAAAGAGGTAGCCTAGTGTTATATAATCTTGCAATAGATTTTTGTGGTTCCAACTTTACTTCATCCATTTACATGCTTATTGTTTTATTAGGGTCAAAAATTAATGATGATGGGCACAGCAGATGAGATTGTTAAGGCCCCAGAGAAGGGCCCTGTTTTTATAGAAGATCTTCCTGAAGATGAACAAGTGCTTGCAGTGGTAAGGTTTTTATTATGTTCTATTTAAGTGTCAGGAATTCGTTTTCAGAAAATTCCATCCGTGTGCCCATCTGATAGCGATAACTAATTAGGTTGATAGTTTTCTTTAGTTGTGTTGTATGGTATCATTGCAGAGGATAACCTGAGAATATTATTTAAGGTAACTGTGCTCATATATGATTAGTGTGCATTATATTGATTTTAGAGTTTAGTGGATTGCACGTACATATTTTGATGTGAAATATACACTCTCGTTAGCAGGTCATCTTCCATGTTAAATGATGTTAAAATGCTAAATGTGTCCGACTATTTGGCATATAAATACCTTTTTATGGTCAAATAATTTAATCAAATTTTATGAGATGTGGTAATGCTTCTGATATTTTGTTCCCAAAGTTGGACTGAAGTTTGTTTCTGGATGATGGACTGTTAATATTGTGTACTTAGGATACCGACTTTTACCTTTGATGGTGACATCATGTTTACCTAAGGTCATGTTTGTCTTATGGTTATAACTGAATTATTCGAATCTTTTTGGTCCATTCTAAGATTCATGTCTACCATTATGGCTTGTCAACCTGCCACCCATGATCATTTTACTTATGTTTTGTCCACATAATCGGGATCTTAAGGTTAATTTAATAAGCTATTGTCTTGTTAGGTTTAATTCGTCCTTGTGGGGTCGGTTTATAAGGCCTTCTATAATTACCAGCTAGGTGTTATTCTTTTGGATTTGAGCCTTTTAACTTTCACGGGCTCCCTCTTGTTGGGTTGTCTTTTTTGTATGCCCTTGCATATATTTTTCATTTCTCTCCATCACAGCTTCGTTTCTTAAAAAAAATTATCATTTTACTTATGTTTTGTTCATCATAATGGGGATCTTAAGGTTAATTTATTAAGCTATTGTCTTGTCAGGTTTTACATCCTTGTGGGGTCGGGGCTTTCTATAATTACCAGCTAGGTGTTATTCTTTTGGATTGGAGCCCTTTCTTTCAGCAGGCTCCTTCTTGTTGGACCCCTTTTTTAGTATGCCCTTGTATATAGTTTTCATTTCTCTCAATGAAAGCTTCGTTTCTTGAGTACGAGAAAAAAGTACTCAATAAATCACCCAAAAATCCGAAAAGAACCCCTAAGAGTAAAGCCCCTAGTTATAACAATAAATAATGAAAATATTATAAATTTAGACAGACTAAGAAACCTACAATGAAACATTACACTGCACAGAACTACTGATTTCTTCCTCATCCAGCATGGTGAGTGAAAGCTGGATGAGGAAGATGGAGGATGGTAAGACTTAAGAGAGGCTATAGAAACGAATTTTGAATAGGTAAAATTGCGTGAACAAGGAAAACAAACTGAGAAAGGAAGTCTCCAGATTTCACAGCATTGATCTTCCCAGCAACAATTTACAAATATGAACCTTCCTACCCAAAAAACAAAGAGCAAAAAAGTAGTAAAGCTTGGTAAATGGCTTTCAAAGGCGACAATGGGTGCCTGCTTACAACCACAGAACCACATTAGAGTGTGCCAATCATCCAAATGGAACCTAAAGGTGTGCTATCCAGTATCTCTTTTAGATAAAAATCTTCTCAACCAATTATGGACAAGGTCTCTTTTTGCTAGGCCTTACCCTTTAGATTGGAGCCCTTTAATATAGTTGGTTTGGCTTGGCTCTTTTTGTCAGATTTTCGTATGGCCTTTTGAATTCTTTCATGTTTCTCTTTCTCTTGTTTTTTCATATTCTTCTGAACTTATTTATTGTTTCTGTTTTATAGAACAGTTATTTGTTTAATCGGACATTTTGATGCTGATTCTATTTGTTATGATTCATGATTCTCATCCAAAATTATGTTGTTTCAGGGTCACAGTGCTGGTTTATTTAATTTGGGAAACACCTGTTACATGAATTCAACCTTGCAGTGTCTGCATTCTGTTCCTGAGCTCAAGTCAGCTTTGATTAAGTGAGTCTCCTACTTGCATTCTTCATAAAACTTCTTGCAGCAACAAATCTAATTGTTGTCTTGGATCAGGTACTCTAATGCTGGGCGAAGTAATGATGTGGATCAAACTTCACACATGCTAACTGTTGCAACCCGAGATTTATTCAATGAGCTTGATAGAAGTATCAAGCCAGTGGCACCTATGCAGTTCTGGATGGTTAGTGGTTTTAATTGATGCACTTTCTCTTTTCATATGTTGGGATGAACAATTGTATTTCAGTGATATATATTTTTCCTTTTTGGGATAAGAAATGAAAGAGATATTATAAACCAAAAGAGCCAAAACAACCTAAAGACCATAGTGTAGGTGTCCCCATGACACAAGGGAGGGATTAGATGCTTGGAAGCCCTCCAATCTAGGTTGATTACAAAAGAAGAGTAGTTACAAAAAGCTCTGTGTGTACCGTACAAGGTCACAAATGTTATTGAAAGAATTCATCTGATCTTTGAAGAGCCTGTCATTTCTTTCCTTCCAAAGGAGCCTCGAAAGCACTCTAGATTCGTGATTCCAAAGAGCACAATTCCAAAGTATTCTTCCTTTATTTGTCATCCACCATTCCAAAGGATCTCGGGGAGCCATTTCTCTGTGATTATCTTTATATGATCATTGCATGATACTTCGTTAGAGTCCATGTATCAGGCTAATTTGGAAATCTTTTTAAGGATGATGTACCACACGATGTTAATTCCTTTATGAAATTAATTTGTAACTCTTTCATCTCAGACATAATATTTTCAAGTTTAGTTGTAATTAATTTAGAATTGTAGATTTCCTAATAACTTAGTTTTGGATTTTTTTAATATTATGGTTATTTCTGCATGAGCTTAGGAAATAACTTGTGTATTCTTCAATCATCACAGGTTCTGCGAAAAAAATATCCTCAATTTGGCCAGCTGCAGAATAGTACATTCATGCAACAAGTATCTGAAATTTTCAACTTTTTTTATCACTTTCTACTAAGTCCTTGAGTTTAGTATATTAGTTGAAGCTTAATTTTTAACAGGATGCCGAAGAATGTTGGACACAACTTCTATACACTCTATCTCAGTCCCTTAGGTCGGCAGGTTCTAGGTAATTGCATCTTGTTATTTTAGTGATTTTCTGTAATTTCATCTGGCTACTYGAAATGTACGCATAAAACAAGAGTATTTGTTTATTCACACTTACTCCTCTTACACTCAATAGTTCTTGAACCATGGTTAGATTAGTTTACATGCTATTTTTGGGCCGTGTAGCAGCCAGCCTGGTCTGAGAGATCTTAGTGTTTTGCTAACCTGTCTCTGTTTTTCAGTTATTTTCTTTTAGTTTCATCTTTCGTGGAGGAAATATGTGGTTTAATGAGAAATTTGTCATCTTCACTTGCAGTGAAAACCCTGATGCTGTAAAGGACCTATTTGGCATTGATCTTGTTAGCAGGTAGGCATCTGCCGACTATTTCATACTTCGGAAACAAATTCCTTGAAGTAGTGGTTTTAGAGTTCTAGTTAATCATTATTTATCTTTCCTATTCTCCTCTGCACCTATTTAATGATCTTGATAATATTCATGAACTTATGTTTGTATGGTCACAAGTGGAAACGTGTTAAGATGCCCCGCTGCATGTTGTTTGTATATTATTGACTAGAAGCACCCGTTTGTCACCTTTATTGTTTAGTGGCTTACCTTGTAGCAAAAACCATATTTCATGGAAATCTCCTCACCGGACACTCTCACCATTGTCATTGAAGTTTATGGTGATGACCATTACCATTGACAATGTCATTAACTTGCAGAATGATTAATTGCATGCATGGGATAATGTTTAATTGACTTACATGTAATAGTTTTTTAGTTGGTCCTACTTGGAAAAAGTTTTTGGGACTATTTCTTATATTGTAGCTTATTGGAGAGCTGTTTGTTACCTCCATGAGCTTTGCTCGTTGATTCCATCATATCCACTTTCCTGTTTCCTTTAAAAAAAACACACACACACACACAGTTAGGCGCTAAATTCTGTCTTGTCAATGTTTTGATGATGGTGATCTTATGGTGCTAGAGTACATTGTCGAGAGAGTGGAGAAGAAAGTTCAGAAACAGAATCAGTTTACTCACTTAAATGTCATATATCACAAGACGTGAACCATTTGAATGAAGGATTAAAGCATGTAAGTCTTGTTAATTTTGGAGATTTTTCCTTTGCTCATAGTTGAGTGCAAATATTTGTTTGACTAGCGATTTTATCACCTTCAAGCACTTACATTAATTGATTGACTTTTACTTGGCTGCTTTTTKCATGCAACTTGTTTTTTTGAATCTGAATCCTCATTTTCCCTGCCAGATAAAAGTAAATTAAACAAATGATGAGACAAATGAATACATGGGGAAAATATTAATAATATTCTTTTCTATYTTTTTTGGAGAAGAAATAATCTCAAAAGTAATAAACAATGAATAGTTTCAATCGTTCTGATGGAAAAATTTGAGAAATTTCTAAGTTCAGGTAACAAGATGTATATAAGGTCTGAATTTTATCCTCATGGTTGTGGTTTTATTTATAATCCTAATGCTTTTATGTGTTTTGCATTTTCATTGCCGTTGTCACTGATTTATATCTAAGTTTTGTATCTCTAGCATTACCACAATTATGGATTTGGAATTTCATCGGAAATCCAATTTGCAAAAGTCTATCATGTACTGCAAGTTTCGATGATACTTGATATTACGAAAATCTCTCACATGATTGCCCATTCAATTACAGAAGTTAAATGTTTACTTTCTGGAAGTATGTTGCAATTTCGTGTCTGAAGTTTATAATTTACTTTTTTTTTTTTTTTTGTAATTAGAGAAGTTAAACATTTACTGGGTAGGTTTTTCACTCTCTTTGAAAGTCAAGCTAGTGGTTCTATATTTACCACTCTCATTATTAAACCTGATTTTTCTGCCTTCAGTAATTCTTTCTTTTTTTTAAGAGAAGGTAATGCTTTTCATCGGTATGTGAAAAGTTACAATAAAATGTATGCATTAATTTCCATCAAAAGCAAGACCTGCGAAAAGAGTTAACAAAAAGTTAACTCGGTTAGTATTAGTTAGAAAGTGAGTATAGTTGCAACAGTCATATCTAAGGAAACCCATTGAGAGTAAYAAAACATAGTAGAAGTCTTTTGCTTTCTAGTTGAACAGTGAACACCCTATTGTTTCGTTCCATGCAAAAAGTGTAATTGATTGCTTGACCAAAAGTTTGTTTAGCTTTTACCTTTGAGGAAATGGCCACACAGTAAATGAAAGACCCAAGAGAAACCAAGTTGCAGTAATGCATTCCAACATCTTTTGCTATAGGAACCATGAAAAACAGAAGAAAAGGAAAAGGTGATTCACATCTTCACTCTCTGAATGAAGTGAGAACTAAAGATGGTTGCCAAGCTAAAGTAGGTCTTTGTTGTAACCTCTCTGTGCGGGTGTTGAGAACCCCAAGACAAGCTGTCCACATGAATACCTTGACTTTTCAGGGCAAATTCCTTCCCAAACCATTGATAAAAGCTTACCCCCAAGTGCTTTCCCATTATCCGTCTGTAGAAATTGCCAGAGGGATGCACATTACAGGTCCTTCCAACCAATTCACCAATCTACTGATTTCCATCAAACTTAATGAGGCATTAAACTCCCCCATAACTCTTCGTCTAGCAGATTCCTTCTTGTGATATTCCAGCTCTTAGAGAGGCCATCCCACAGCCCATCCAATAGTTTATGTTTGAGATCCRCTAACTCAAAGATATGGAAATGTAATGGCAATGGAAGTCNCTCAACAATCTGTTTCACTTTTCCAGGTTGAATGTCTTAAGGTAGATGGTGTCTTGCAGAGAAGAAATCTTGTTTATTGTGCATCTACTAGGTATTGCATTTTAGCATTGAATTTTTCCCTTTTTCTAGAGTGTGTTATTATTTGGACGGAAAAATTTCTAGTAGCATTGGAGATGATTTGCTATCTGGCAGTTATTTTGGAAGATAGTTTGAACTATTTAAACAAAAATTCAGTGAAAATATTTTGCATAACTCATTTTATTTTTTGTGCTCTCTTGGGACGATTTGTACCTAGTACGGATTGCAAGGCCATGATGGAGGGAGGTTCTTATACATCTCCCTTTGCAAGGAAAATGAATCTTTTGGGGCAAGCTAGTTACTTTGACATTTTTGGTTTGGGAGGAATAGGATGGTCCTATAGGGTGTAGAGGGTTTTGGATTACTACTCACATCAACAGAAGTTTTAGTTTCTCTTTCTCATTAAAAAAGTATTTTATTATTAAGCAGTTCTTTTTTCCATCAAAATTAAAGTAATTATAATAGAGGTACTTATGGTAGAAATGCCGAAAATAACACTTCCAAACGCTCCGTATATGTTTCTTAGTTTGGCTTTATCTTCTGCAGTGCTGGAAAAAGTTTTGTCGCAGAGATTTTAATGTTACGGCGGGTCATTTCTACTGGAAAAATGGCATTTCTTGTACTTCCATATGTATCAATTTGTGCAGAAAAGGTGTTCTATTGCTTTTCAAGTTCAATAAACTATGTAGATCAAATGATCTTGTGAATAATTTTATTCTTATATTTGACAATTTTATGTTTTATTTGCAATTTCCAATTGTTCTAGGCAGCACATCTTGATGTGCTTATTGAACCTCTGGATAAGCATGTGCGTAGTTATTATGGAAACCAAGGTGGTGGAACGCTTCCTAAGGATACTTCTGTGGCTGTTTGCACAATTGAGAAGGCAAACTCTTTGGTGAACAGATTGTTGGAAGAGGGTCGTTTGTCAGAAATTGGAATCATCGTGATAGATGAATTGCACATGGTAACTAAGAAAATCAATATGAAAATTTGGGACGAGAGACAGAAATATAAGAATTTTGAAGACTGTTCTTGTGGCAGTTTTATAGGTGTATTTTTTTTTAATTTTTATTCTCACTAACTGGCCTGTAAATAAGTGATGATTGATATGTCATATGCTAGCACACTAGGTCAATGTTTCATGAGTACGAGAATTTCCTACTTTCTTTAAGAGATCAGTAGTTCAGCTATACCTTTCCCTGTTAGGGTATTCATCTAGATAGTTCTTGTTCTCTGTTTCATTGACAGGTTGGGGATCAGACAAGGGGTTATCTTTTGGAGCTTTTGTTAACAAAACTTCGTTATGCTGCTGGTGAAGGTAATTTAGATTCTAGCAGTGGCGAGAGTTCTGGTACAAGCAGTGGTAAGTCGGACCCTGCTCATGGTATTCAAATTGTTGGCATGAGTGCAACCATGCCAAATGTGGCAGCTGTGGCAGACTGGCTTCAGGTTAGTGAATCAATAACCCTTTTATTATAGAAAAGTTAATGGGAAATATGATTGTTGTTAGAGGGAAGGATGAGGGTTACTGTTGCTATAAAAATAACTTGGGCTTGTGTAGATGCTGGTTGTTCAATAATAAAAAAAAAGTGCTTTTATAAAAAATTCTTTTATTATGAGGACTGAGTGTTTTATTTTATTGTTTGGTTTTAACAATTTAGAATTATTTGTGATCTAATTTAGAAGTTTTTTTTTGAATGATTAGTATAAGTTTTTTAAGAATTGAAAAATTATTAGACAGGATGCAATTAGATTATAAAAAGATATGATATGAATGAAAGAAAGTGTGTTCAAAAAGTTCGCGAGAGAAAGCATTTGTGTTAATTTTTTAGTGTAGCTATAGCTATAGCAGTGTTATTGAGGCGCACCCGGGCGTTCGCCTCAGGCGAGAGGCGAGGCGATTTCGTCTAGGTGCGCCTTGCAAAGGTGCCCAAGCGAGCACCTTCAATCGGGCGCTCGCCTCGGTGCGCCTTTTGTGCGCCTCTCGCCTGAGGCCAGGGGATCTGCCTTATATATATATATATTTTTTTCTTTTTAATGTGTTTTTTTAAAGGAACCTTTCTCCCTCGCGAAATACTTTAGTCCACAAACCCTAACCATTCTCTATGCCTCTCGACATTCACCTTCACCACCCTCAATCTCCGGCCATCGCCCGCTCCCATCTCTGACCATCACCTTCGCTGGTCCCATCTCCGACTAAACTTATTGAATTTGGTTGTTTTATGTATCTTGTTGACATTTACTATGACACTATTTTGGTATTTATTTTTTAAATTATGTTTACTATATAAATTTATGTACTATATATAATATTCACTCAGGCGTCGCCATTGTATCGCCTGAGGCGATCGAAGGGCTTGTCGTCTTAGGGTGCGCCTTGCGCCTCGAAAACACTGGCCACCTCCTCTGCTAGCCACATTTTAAACCACTTTTTGCCATACCTAAGTGGATTTTCTTTGGAGTCTTCTTTTTCTTCTTCTTCTTCTTTTTTTTTTAATAAATAAACTGGGAAACCAAGCTTTAATTGATAAAATGAAAGAATACAAAAGGACAAGCAAGAAGCATACAAAAGGACACCATAAGACCTAGTTGGTAATTACAAAATCCTTAGAAACCGATGTCTAAATAGAAATATTAAACCTAACTAAGGACTACACCTCATTCCACACCCACAATCTCTCAAAATCTTCACAACCACTTTCCCATTATGGCTCCATTCTGCAGCATTAGGTTCCCAATTCCTACCTACCACCAAGTCCTAGGGGCGAAGAGACCTGCAACTCCTTGGATGGTTAGGCTTGTCATCATTTAGAGAACCATATCACAAGAAGTCCTCTCCCTCTCCAACAAAGCAATAGAACTACTTGACATGGGAGTCAAATCTAGTAAAATTTTCTCTACTTATTAAGCTTGCGTAAGACTTCTTAGGTAGTCTGTGCTTCAAGGCCTGTAAGATGAACAGTTGGCGTCAACCTTGAAAAATAGCATTGCAATGTTTTGTCTGAAGTGCAGTCGCACATGATTAAAGTTAACACTTCTGTCTCCTTTTAGATTCTTCTYGGCAAGTAACTGTATTATGGTAAATTTTTGTATTCCATATTATTTCTTCAAAAAGTAGTTATGTTCACTTTTAGAAACCTTCTTAGTGACAAATTTCCTTATGCTACGAAATTCTGTAGGGTTTAAAATCAGAACTAGAGAAAGTGTCTCCTTCACTGGGGCGCAGTGCAATTTTCCTGAAGGAGTCTCGTATTAATAGCCTGCCAAGGTAATAACGAAATGTTTTAAAGTTTTATTTAGTCAGCTAACACATCTTTTCACTGGAAAATTTACTTGGCCACTTTTAAATTAGAATTGTACCATGGAATAGTATGAAAAGTGGCACCCATTATAACAATTATGTGTGGTTTAATTTTTAAGGTACTTGACAATTCAATTTGTCCGCTTTTTTTGGAAGAGAGAGTCAAATCAGAAGGCCAAAATTTTAAGGGTACTGCCACTAAACTTCCATGCCACGATTGTAAATTGTAGATACTGTCCTGTCTCTCTTTAATTCAAAATTCCTAATAGTATCCCATAATCTTTTATCTTTCCTCTCATCTCAGAAAGTGGATTATCCTTTGGAGTTAGATGTGTTTGATTTGTGTTCAGAGGATCTTCGCTCCCAGTTGGAAGGTCCTCGACGGGTATGGTTTCTCTCCTATGGTCTTTAAATAAGAAACTTGTTGATAGTTTTTTTGACGATGTTCCGAATCTTGTTCATTGAAATATAGCTTCTGAGGGATGAGGAGGGCAAAAAACTAGGTCTGAAACCCAATGAGAAGACTTTGGATTCAGCAGAAAAGGATGTGAAGGTGTCTGCTGCAGGAGTGAGTCGAGAACCTATTTGCATGCATAGGTATGGAACTTCTGGTAATTATACTTGGATTTTCTTTTGACTTCCAATCCCTGAAATATGCAGGGTACATCTACTGGGAATGAGGCACAATCAAGTGTTACACCTCAAGAAGGTCCTCTTTTTTCATAAGTGGAAATTGCACTCTGTATATTTAATCAACTTCTTACTTTTTAGACTCTCACCTTTTGATGATTATCTATCTCAGATGGCCCCCCTTCTGACAAGGAAACGCAAATGACTGGAATTTATGATTTGGTAGCTGTGCTGACCCACAAGGGAAGAAGTGCAGATTCAGGACATTATGTTGCTTGGGTCAAGCAAGAAAGTGGTTAGTCTTTTAGAATGAATAGGCCTTTTCGTTAATTACTATGTGGTACCTCTCTCCAAATACAGACTACCTTAAATGGTTTTCAATTGGCTACAGGGAAGTGGATTGAATATGATGATGATAACCCAATGGCACAAAGAGGAGAAAACATCTTAAAGCTATGTGGTGGAGGTAAAGCTCACATGGGAATTAATTGCTGGACTATCTTTTAGTTGACTATGTTCTCATTCTGTAAAGCAGCAATCCTTCAGTAACAGTTATCACTGCYAACTGCCAATAACGTTTCATTCTAATTTTTTGTTTATTTCAGGTGACTGGCATATGGCATATATATGCATGTACAAGGCTCGTGTTGTCCCTAATTGAACTTAAATTTCGTTCAAACTGTATGTGAGGGCTTTTCATGGTTGGCTAGAGACTCATTTGACTATATTTACTTGCCAGAAACTTCCCTATGTACCACCTAGATCCTTTAATCCATCTGGAATTTTCCCATATTTCTTGTTTATTAGGTCATTTCAAGTGGTTTGTTCTGTAGCAGCTTGGCATATTGAAAGCAAGCTGGTGTGGATTAGATCTTTTTTAGACCCAGATATGTTTATGTTTAAATGTATGGATGGTTGGCTCTGCTTATTTTCTATTTCTGTTTGGGACACTGAAAATTTGCAATTAGCTCTTCCCATTCCGTCAATGAACAAGAAACAAAGCAAGTATTTATGTTTAGCTTGGGGTCTACAATTCTTTTTTTGGTTTTTTTAGCTCACAGGCGCACATAAAACCGAATTAAACCGACCCGAACCAATAAAGAAGGTTTCCTAGGGATTGGCGGCTGGGTTCGGCCTACAAATAGCAAACTGACCATCGTGGGTTGGATTTTGGTCTAGTAAAGAAAATCTAATCGAATATCTCTAAAACTTCATGTACAGTAATAGGGGACAATTGAAAAATGAATTGTACATTTATGTTTGGAAGTGGAAGTGGTGCAGCTACTGTTGTATTTTATTACTAGCCATGTGTAAGAGTTCATATTGGATACAACAAATCAGCTGTATATAATGGTGAGACTAGGTACAAAAAATAATCATAGAAATCTAAATACTGTTTTAAAATGATTTGATCCGAAACTCCATTCTATATATCGAAGTCTAAAGAAAACTAACTTCAACCAAATGGGAGATAAGTAATATTACTGTTTTGAGGAATCATCTCATAAGTTGTTACATACAACTAAAATGGAAGAATTTTGCCCAAAACTAACCATAACCAAAAGTTTCTAGGGAAAAAATAACCCATCCCCTTACTCCCTAATGTAACATAAGAAAACTGAAGCACAAGATATGATGGTATAGTAAAATTTCATAAATATGGGTCAAATAAATTACCACTCAGTGACACAAAGAATCAATGAAAAAATGATGCTGTGTAAGTTTTTTCTTCAGAAGTTCAATCCCAACCAAGATTATGAATAAAAAGCTACACTTTCTTTTTCCTGGTAATCTTAAGCCTAAGTTGCGGTTGCAAATATTGAACATTCGTTTATAGTATTTGTTGTAGGAGAGCTACAATCACATTCTTTTTTTTTTTTGTTCCTTCATGGCTCCAACCCAAAACAATCTGAAACATAACTGCACCTTCTCTTTCAGAAGAAGATGCAGGGAAATGAAAAAGAGTGAAAAAGAAGAAACTAAATAGTTGGGGTTGAGGAAGGGAAGAGGGAGAGAGGAGGAAAATGAGATGCAGCCACTGCAGAGAAATCAACATAAACCTTATGGAGGATTGTGTGGCAACCACCTCGGCGTCTGGATACCAAAAGCACGTTCTAGAAGTGTTCGGAGGTACAGTACGTCGTTTGAAGTCTTGAGTACTTGGAAAGCTGCTTCCGAATCAATGGCTGGAAGGAAATGGGAAAAGAACTTTCTCGTTGAGAAAGTCGACCGACCAAGCAAATACGGTTTCTTGTTAAACCCATGTTTACGCATAGTACATGTACAAGCTATTAGCAGCAGCGCAAGCAATCGAGTTCTCAGATGGGTGCCAGGCTAAATGCAGCAACTTTGTTGTGAAATCAAAGGAATTTCCATTTGCATCAATCCCAGGACTCTCTGCTCCTCCTATGGGAGATTCCAAATAGGGATAATGTAAAATCAACAGTATGTATGGCACATAACTAAAACTAATTTGGTTAGTCGATAAGTAATAGAAGAAAAGGAAAACACTAACCTCGTCTTACGACTCGTGTTATACTACTGCTCAAGGATCTGGCAGGCCTTGAAGGGGTCTGAACTTGACGCCTGCAGGTAAAGTGAACCTTGCATAAGCATCACATAAATCAGATAGAGTCATATCACACTCACCCAATTTACCTCATTGGATTTTTGCTGGCTTCTAAAGTTGTAGCCTCTGTACTTCCCGATACGCAGCCAAACACGCGAAATAAATTACTGAAAACACAAATATATGTATTAAGGTTTATCTCTAAAAAAAGAACAAAAATGTAGCCATCAAGAGCATAGCTCAACGGTCAAAGTATCTGGCTTCTTCCCTAGATGTCAGAGGTTCAACCTCCATCCCTCACATTTGTTGTACTCAAGAAAAAAAAAATTGTAAAGTTTTCTGCAGGGGAACACTTACCTGTAAGATCCTGTAGCTACTCGCAATCCATCTCCGCTCAAACAACACTCGAACTTATCAAAGATTGAATCATTTTCATACAGGTCACACAGCTACACGGGTATTAAAAGAAAAATGGGTCAAGAAGATCAGAAATAGCAACATATTTAACATTCAAATCTGAGTTTAGGGGCAGATAGTTCAACCTTAGGTCTTAAATATTCATGAACCTGAAATGCTGCAACTGGACCAGAATCCATATTAATGTCCCACAACTGCAAATAAGTAAACAACTCACTTCATAACAAGATAACTAGTGAAAACAATCCAAAACATGGTCTGACTTAGTTGAAACGTTTAAAATATGCAAGCAAAAAACCATTAAAAACCCTTCATAACAAGATAACTAACTAGTGCAAACAATCTAGCAGGCTGCAGGCATTTAAAAAGATCGAGCAGACCAAAAGATGAAGCAAGAAAAACTACGTCACGACTTTCTTATGACACTATCAGGCATTAACTCTACCTCAAAAGGTGGACATAACTACATGAAGCTTCCCCTGAAAAAGGACTGATTATCAGTGAGGTGCTAGGAAGCCTTTATTCCAGATGAGTTTTCTTGTTGATGTTAGGACACAATCTAGTAAGCTCGTAATCAAAGTATACAATAAAGTAAAAATGAGAATGGGTCGTCCTCTCCCGAGGTTTGAAATGTCAACTTCCTCAAATAGACCAAGAAGGTAGCAGTTCCAGCAGTCAGGTAAATTTAACTGGCTCACATACAAGTCCATCCAAATGATAAAATTGCAACCATTACACTAATAAGCTAAAGACTATCTTCTTCTTTTTTTCATGTAGGGAGGCGTGGGTGGGGGTGGCAGGGGTTGCACTTTATGAGGGACCCTGAAGATTATCAATCTAAATGATAAAATTGCAACATAGCAGGCTAGCAGCCACATATCACATATGAGCAACGTAATGTCTAGAAGAAAATGAAAACCTTGAGAGTCATGTAATCACGACTAAGAATGTATCTTCCGTTCTTTCCAAACTTAATATCAGAGATTGAAGCAATAATCTCAGTAAAAAAGGATCTAGAACCAGGTGCCTCCTGCTCCTCAAATCTGCACCCAAGTGGAATTTCTCATGAGTTATTGTAAGGTCCACGGAATTTTTTAATGTGCTGGATATGAAGAGAAAAATCAATTTAAAAAAAGCAGTATTAGCACTAACAATTTGGCGTGAGAATCACATAATGCTGACTGCCGCAAATCAATTAGGCGGATGGATCCTTTTGAACTGCTATATGCTAACATATTGCAATGAGTAGGATGAAACTCTGCAGATGTTATCACCTCTACAGAAGCACAAGGGAAATTTAGAATCCAAAGTAAAAAATTAAAAAAAGAAGGAAAAAGAAAAAAAGAAAGAAAGGAGATTGGAAAGAAGAAAAAAACAGTGAGAATGAACGAATGACTACACTACTTCACTTCGCAGAAGCCCAAAGTTAGTAAAAGAAACATATCAATAGAAGTATACAAAAGTTCAGTAAAAAAAACTTATCAATAGAAGTATACAAAAGTTGAATGTTGGCTGGCTTAAATATATTTCACAACGACATGACCCTTACTTTTCTTTCTCCCCTTCTTTTTTCCCAATAAGTTCCAAAAAATCCTGTCATAAGAGGCCAGGAGTTCTGGCTTCTTTTTGATGATGATAAGTGTTATAAATCTTCTACATTAACCCACGAACTTTGTACATATTTCATATTTAGTGGTAGTCTGGTAATGAATAAGAATGAGATAGTTAAAACAAAAGCTTGCTTCTTGAGAATGTTAGTAAATAATCATAAAGACTGCAAAGTTAGTTCGTGATCTAAAGGATGCTTCCCTTGTCCAATACTTTTATAGAGAAAAAATATTAACTTAATATCTCCAATTCTGATTACTTAAATATCAACCACTGGAAGGAAAGTTCGGCCTTAGTGATCAGAATTTCAAAACCTTACCAGTAAGATCCTCCATGTTAGCAGGCTTGACATCAACAATATTGAAACTTTGATTGCTAATTTCCAAGTTCCAAAGATTTATCCGCAGATCATCAGCTGATATAAAAGTTTCTCCATCACTATAAACACAGGCAAGATGACATAATTGGTTACTAAAACCATGCTAAAAACAAGCCAGGCACTGTAAATGGAAATCATATTTCTGTAAATAAATAAAAGTTGTCTTTGTACATGCGTGCATGCAAACATATGTACATATATGTATCAACTGAAGATATGAAGAAAATTTGGACAAAAACCAGCTTCCATTAAGAAGGGATGAAGAAAATCTAACCAAAATGAAAAGTTTCTATTAGAAGTTCCCATTTACAATTCAACAGTTACAATTTAAGGGCAGCGATCAGGAATTATTTGAAGTTAACTGATTGATTCACTTTCAAAAAAGTTACAACTAATGAGAGTTAGGGAAATTTAATGTGGTAGCGAAGTAAGAGATCCACCTTCAAGTCTCTGAACTATGACTATTTGGTTCCTCTCTATTGCAATATAAGTATTCTATGTGTTGAGCCTCTTTAATCAAAATAATATTTTAGCACGTACACAATTAGTAGTTTAAAATTTTAGAATTTGTATTCATTCAACAAAATCTCCTCAATAGCAATTTATTTAAACAGAGGAACGAAATGAATGACACTCTCTAGTCTCTTGTTCCATGTGGATTTAGAGGTTCACTTATGAGAGAGATGCTCCATAGCACTAGATCATATCTAATAATTATAGTGAAATGTGTTTTCGATCGCTAGCCTGCAGCCCCTCATTGTTGCCATTGTAGCTAAAAGTCCTTGGCATTTCATTGCTATGTACAAAAGCTAGATCAGTAGGTCTACCACTTGCCCTCGGGAGGATGATTATCCTATCCTATTAATTCCCATCTTTGACTATCATTGTCAAGACTTTATGCTGTCGATGAAAGCAAGGGAAGAAGTATTCAGGACTATTAGGTAGTCCGTCTAGCAGCAAGGATGCTCAGAATTTTAGAAGTAATTTTAATCAAAGGAAGGTGGACGCATGGCTCCCTCTTTTGAGTTAGATACAAGTTTTAGAC